TAACTTCATAAGTTCCAAAAAATTACAATATACCATAAAAAGAAACATAATAATAACAAATGTATTTCTTATTATTACTTTTAAATTATTTAACAGGTGCCAGATACTGAATGGAAAAATATATGTGATAACCACAAAATTCAACACTACTACTTTAGAACAGAAAAAAACATACTCTCTGTTCATTAACCGCAGGATGGCAGCAATATAGCGATACTTGTCTCCAATTAACGCTTGATACTTGATTTTCTGGAATCAAATTCTTTACTTACCATTTGCATGACAATTTTCATCAGATCCGTTCCTATATTTATAATTTAAGAAGGTACAGCTTTCTTTTTTATTAATTAGATTGTTAATATTGCATTAACGATGGTACTTATTGTAATTGTATTGTTTTGATAAACTATTAATTGAAATAGAAAAGGGTATTGTATATTTTATTGTACTGTATGACTAATATAAATGCAAAATATTATTTAAATAATTTCAAATAAACTTATAAAATTATCATGTTATATGCACTGATTCTAAATGAAAATGGATATTTATCAAAGATCTTGGATTTTAAAAATAAAAATGTCAACTTCCACATTATTTCACAGGTGGTAGATACTGATCTAAACCATGAAGAAATACATAAAGTACAGTTATAAAATAAACACAAAATGCAACCCTAGTGTAGATTTTTAAGGAGAGAATAAAATCTTACTCACTGATTCTAAACATCAAGGTGCCAGTTATATTGATATTATTGACATTTAATGCATGGTATTTTTTAAAAGGATTCACAAAATACAGATCTTATTTTTCTGAGACAATGCAATCTGTACCACACATAAGGGAGCCCTTCAATAAACTTCAATTTTATTTATGTCAGTTAACATTATCTTGTCATGTACAGTAGCTATATTTACACACGTATAGTTCACGTGTAATTATCTGCGCAACTGCCTATCTTTAAAAATTATTAAGTGCAATGATTTTGTATTAAATATTGTATTGTTGAAAATAAAACAGCTTCATTACTACATTTTAAACATAAACTCTACTGTGCCCTTCATGTATGAATTCATTTCTGTTCTCATGTGATGTATTTTTGCGTTAGAAGCGAATTCAGGTGAAGTATGCTTTCTTCTGAAGCAGCCTACAGGATACCGTACACAGTACCCCCTGTTTTAGCCCTGTGTTTCTCCAGCAGCCAATGCAGTGCTTTCCCAGTGTAGCCAGTTCAGGAGAACAGTCTATGACATCATATAGCCAAACATCCATTCAGGCTGTGTTACCGAATCATGGTGCGGGTATATCTACTAATTCCATCCACTTGGATGAATTTGTTTGGCCCTTACTGATATTGTGTTTTAATGTCCTGCCAGGCAGTACGGTGATTGTTTTGCTTAAATTTATTTTTATAAATCACTTTTGCTTGCAGTTATATCACCTCCAGGTCTCAACTTCTACCCACTGAAGCGCAGCAGGGTTGAACTTGGTCAGTACCTGGATGGGAGACCTCCTGGGAAGCAATGGTTGCTGCTGGAAGTGGTGTTAGTGGGGAGTTATCCTGGCATCTGGGCCAAATTTCCCCCCTCCGCCTTTACCGTGGCCTCCAAATTATCCCCATGTATAATTGGCTTGCACTTGCCCTGCAATGGACTGGCACCCCGTCCAGGGTGTACCCTGCCTTGCACTAGTTGCCTTCACCGTGACCTTACCAGGAAGCGGAGTGAAAATGAATAGATGGATGGTTTGGAATAGACACAGAACTTAATTAAATGACTTTCTAAAGAAGGAGGCTTTGAGTCTGGTGCTATATGTTATGTAGAAGAGCCTGGAGGACAGGAGACCTGAGTCAGTAGAAGAGTAGTAAGTCAGGTACTGAAGTACCAAACCATGCTGACCCTTATATTTAATTATGTTTATGGTACATCAGTCACATTTTCATGCAAATCAATCCCAGAACTTCTTTGAAGACCGGAATTTATACATAGTCACACAAATCAAAATAAACATACAACTACTCAAATCGATCAGAATTTCTTTTATTGGCCTATGTTAGCATCATGTATGATAATGCATATTTAGGCAGTTGTTGTAGCTATAATTTCATTTGAAACAGAAACATATCTGTGCTGTTGACCTCAACCTTACAAACAAGTCTGATTAGTCCTCAGCCAGAAATGATCACGTGTCACATGTGTGACTGGATGATGTACACGACTGGCAAATAGCATTTGAGTTTGGTTTAAATGTGGGCCCAAGGCCTTTAGGAACCTTACCAGTTTGTATTTGGTAAATAACAATGATGTAAACTAAAATTGTTAAAAAAAATTGTGTTTAAAATGTAGTTGCTGTAGGACTCCAGTAAGGAGTATGGCTTGTGTTTTAATTGTTTTTTTTATATCAGAAAGGATTTCACCGGCCTGGCAAAAGTAGGAAGACTAGTTATTGGTGTAACTTTGAAATGGACACTTTATTAAGTTAACATTGTTATATTGAGGTGAATGAGTGCTCAGGTGATACAGAGAACTGATAGTGAGCTGGTCTCTGGAGTTGATCCAATAAATCTTTGGACAGGTAGATAATCATGTTCCTAAACCCACTAAGTTTACTCTCACACAGCATTTATGATTATATATGCATCTGGTATCTGTATTTGTACATGCTATGTGTATTTTGCACAATATTACATCTAATCACCTGTCAGAGTATTTTAAATCTGCATCAGTGTGGTTTGGCTCTGGCTCTAAGGGAGGAATGAGTTACCACTGAACTGAAATGAGGTGTGTTAATTGCAACTCCTTACTTTAGGAACATTTATAAAGGACCACAAGGTGATTACCATAAGCCTGGTAATTCTGTTGGTTAAATACTGCATATGACTTGTATGACTACAATGCAAATTATAAATCAATTATATATTAATATGACATAAAATTAATGTTTTGGTATACCTCTCCAACTCATACAGAATAAGTCTAATTTGGATATAATGTTGTCATACAACATAGTCAGTGATTACTTTGAAATAGCTGGTTTCTTCACATTGAGTTTATACAAAAGCTCACCACAAGGCACCTTAGAATATTCTGATTGTATTCAGTAGTTGAAATCTACCACAGAAGGAATTAAAGTAATGTAATTATAATATAATAATATGTCGGTCTGGTAATTTTCCACAAGATGTTCTGTATTATTACTGTCTTGCTGTTCTCTGGTGGCATTAAATGATAAAAGTCCCAGTGATTTTTACCATGAAGGTAATTGCTTTGGTCTGTTTCACGCAGTAAAAACTGAAATTATATACACAAAAACAAGATTTATAACCAACTTATTGCTTAGAGGTTGGTCACTCCTCTTCACTCTGCCTGTCCTGGTGTAAATCAGCGATGGTTCAATGTGTTAGCCAGAAAATGTTTTTTCTTCTTCAGGCTGTGTGTGAAACCTTTGCTTTTATACATTATACATGTAGTTATCTGGTCCTTTGCAGTAAGACTACTGTAACAGTCCCAGTGTCCCCAGGAAGCAGTGATTCCATAAGGAATGCATGAGGACAGTGAAGATTAGAAATGTACAGATTAGAAGAGGTTTTGTGGGGAACAGACCTCACCCTTCAATGTGAATAACCCAGAGACATCACGTGTCCTTTCATTTAGCGTGGACTGTTTTCAAGACATTAACTTACAGCTAATTGTTGAACTTTCATTTTTTTAAGAGTACCTCTCTTGTATAAGCATGTCAAAATGTATTACAATTAATCCTTCATGAGATTTTATTTGTAACATTTTTAATGATTAAAATATTAGGCTGTTTCAAACTAAAATATTTTAGGTGCTGTTACAGCGGCGATGCAATGTTAGTGCAGTGCAATGACCTGTTCTCTCTCCTTCTTGTGGTCAATATTTATAACTGCAGTCTATGTTTTGTAGTTCTGTTTGACTAACATCTGAATGAAAAACATCCAGATCCCTAGTGTCTCACAGTAGCTTCTGTGATCTGTCTTTAGAAATAGAGCTGATTTGCTTGCATTTTACATATACAATAAATATCACAAAATAAAAATAAATTCCTAATTATGCCCAGTTATTGAAAGATTTTATCTGAGGACATTTATTAGCTATAATGTTAATAAACATTGTTTTATTTGTAATTTTCAGTTTCATAGCCTATTAAGCTAAATACTAAAATACATCTACACATTCTTTCTGTGTGTTTATTACACTGCATTTATAAATGATGTACTGTACAAACCCAGCTCTATTCGGTGTTGTAGCAGCTCTGCAGCTGTTCTCAGTCTCAGTCCTCTGTGGTTCCTGTTGATGAGCCAGAGCAGCTCCTGTAGAGCTGAGGGAGGTTTTTGTACAGACGTTTATCACTGTGTGAGAGGCAGGCTTCTATCCTTCTAACAGTAATAATCTCCTGCATCTTCAGCCTGGCCTCCTGTAACTCTGGACCATCAGGTCTGTCTGTGTCCAATTTCTATGACCAGGCTGTGGTCATAGAAACAAAGTGATTTTAGTTTCTATGAAAATAAATGTATTGAAACTTCCTCCCTATAAATTGGGTTTTCGCCTGAAAAATCATCAATTAAGAAAGATTACAAATGATGAGGCTAGTGGGCCCCTCTTGCTTTCTTGGTTTCAATGAGCTGATTAGAAGGCTGTCGGATGAAATCCCAACTAGTCATCCAAGACTGCTCCAGTAGAATGCTTGACTGGATCAATTGGTTGTCTTAAAAGTGACAACCAAATTAATTGGTGATTTTTGATGGTCTGAGATGCTCATCCAGCCTCTTCTTGAATAGTATCACCTTCAACATCGCAGCTGTGACATCTTGTTCCATGCACATACACTTTCCCTGTGCTCAAAATCGTTTTGGGATTTTAAATTTTCAATCAGTCATTGATACCTCTCCTATGTTCTTTGTTTTCACTGTGAATAATGTGCAGTGCTTTTGGCCCAAGAACCATTGCAGAAAGAACAAGCAAAACAAGAAGCAAAACCTGTTTTGAAGCATTTATTTATTTTGTTGTTGTTTTGTTAATGTACACTCTTTCTAAGCCAATACAATTTTATATCTCTAGAGCTGACTGGCCTTGTTCCAAACTTGAAAAAAGTTTGAGAGCGAGACATCCAAACTGAAGCACCAGTTGGTTTTTGTTCCTTTAATGATTTTTAAATATTTTCCAAACACAACTTTCCAAAACTGACTAGGTCTTATCCCATAAAGCACCGTGAATCTGCTAGTATTGCATGCTCTGTGGTTGTCCTGACATTAAAATAAAGTGATATTATGGTACAATCTTACAAGATACAATCATATTTTAAAAAAATGATACATAGTTAATTGAATCTCTATAACTGAGTAAAATTTGTAACTTAAGTTGCCTAGAAAGAGCATGTCTTCGGTTCCTCTCTGTGAGCTCTGCAGATCTCCAAGAACATATCTAGTATAATAATACAGGATATATGGTATGAAACAAATTACACTATAATATTGAAGAAAATAACAGCAAGCACAAACCAGTGTAATGACCCAAGGCAGTCACTTGAAGCACATTTGAAAAAAAAACATTTTATTTTAGAGAAAAGGAGCATTTCCATATTTTACCTGGATTTTTTAAAGCTCTGTCTTTACAGGTGGAACGGCTTTGGCAGAGGCTTTGTAGTTCATACTCATGGCTGCTCTTAGTGTAGACTTGATGGACGTCTCGATCCACGCATGGGGGAGGGCAGTGTGCTCCCCAGCAAAGTAGACTCTCTGAAAGGGCTTGAACAGATCCAGGTGATAATCCATCAGCTGGAAGGGCGTGAAGAGCGCAAAGGCACCCAGGCTGTACTCATCCAGGCTCCACTTCTTCACCACCCCTCCTTCATACAGATCCCGGATTCCTTCTCCGTGGATGGCCGCCAGGTCGTTCAGTGCCACCTCCTGGCAGGCCTCGTCGCTCATCCCCAGGAAAAACTGGGAGTCATCCGACCAGGTATAGGACGCCAGCACCACCCCAACCCCACTCTTGAACGTTTCGCTCACGTAGTAAATAAAGCGCGACGGTTGATCCGTGATGGACTTGCCCCCACGGATCCCTTCTTTCTCCCAAAACCGCTCCTTGAAGACCAGGAAGATTTTAGTCGAGCTGTCATAGTGGACGTTCCGCAGGGCTTCTCTTTTGCGCAGGGGGAGAGGGGGGTTAAATCTAACATTCAGAGTTGCCTTGGCCGTGCCGGTGAACAGGAGGTAGTCCGCTGCCATCATTTTGACTGAGTTGTCTGTTCTGTCTTTGTACACAACCTGGATGCCCCTGCTGGTCTGATTTATTTCCAAAACTCTTGAATTCAGAAATACTCTACTCTTCTGAAGGTCTTTCCTCACAGCCTGGGGCAGCAGATCTGTGCCTCCATCTATTTTGAAAAATCTGGGGAAACAATACAAAGACAAAATCATTTTTGTTATTTTTTGTCCCTTATCATTTTCCAATGCTGTTAACATACAAAACACCTTAAATATTAGTATGGACTCTGTATTAGAATAACCTTATTTTAAGATTATAATATGTTGTCAATTGTAACACGTCTTAGTCACATTTCCCATTGTTTTAGTGATCAGTCACAAGTTCTAATTGAAATTTTAAAATGCATAAATTCTCCCTCATTTATTCTCCATCAGGGACCATACTGTATATATAATAGTATGTTTGAGGCTACTTGTTCAAGGGACTACTTTAAAAAAATGAACAATAAATTGAGGGTGTGGGACAATTTTAATAAGTTATTCGACCAACTCCACAGATCTGTGTAGGAGTTACTTCTTTACACAAAGGTTGGTGGTAATGTGGAATAAGCTTCTGTACTCAGCCATGTTGTTGAAGCCAATAATATGGCTTCTTTCAAGAAACTGATGGATAAGGTTCTGGGATCAATAAACTGCTAACCTAACAGATGGGATTGATAGACTGATTGGCCTCCTTTCATTTGCAAGCTTTCTCATAGGGTCTTTTGCAGTTTGTATAGATACTTTTTAGATTTAAGATGAGATATTTCAGATATAACTTAATCCAAAAAGGGTGAAAATATGTCTTTGGCATCACCATGCAAAGGTTTGCAACATGTGCATGTATATGCACAGATCTCTCTCTCTCTGCCCATATAAGATAAGATCACTTTATTGGCCATATAAATTTCTCGTATTAGGAATTTGTCTTTTCACATACCACAGCTTGCTCTCCATGAGACACACAGACAGGAAGAGAAGCTTGGGGTCAGAGCGCAGGGTCAGCCATTTATACGGTGTCCCTGGAGAAGTTAGGGTTAAGGGCCTTGCTCAGGGGTCCAGCAGTGTAAGATTCCTCTGCCAGCCATGGGATATGAAGCAGCAACCTTCCAGCCACAGAGCCACCACACCACCCCGGGAAAACTCATGCCAGGAGTTGGGTTCTAACCCCTGATCTCCAGCATGCAAATCACATGCCAAAGCCATTATACCAATGTGAACCACTTGACAAATATTACACTACCATTACACACAATCCTTTACTTTGCTGCATTTTAAATACCAACTGCACAGGGCAGACATTTGTAGACATTTTTTCTTGGCCACAGGCATTGTAAACCACTTCCCTGAAGGAAGCAGCTGGAAATGGGAATGAAGAGGGAGGGACCATCAATGGTGGAATTCTCTTTGAACCACAATATAATACAGCTCTTTACGCTGTTTCTGGGGTCAACCAATTCTTTTCAAAGAAATATTAAATGTAAAACAAAACTGGTTATTAGTTTTGGTTCTTGTATCCATCCAACTTATCACTTATTGGTGGAATGTTCCTTTGGGTGATGGATAGTGAACCTGTGGTTCTGGGAACAAACCAACCTGGAGACATGCTGGAGCCCATGAGCACTATACACCATCATTTTGTTCAGCCTGATACAGCTTTATAAGGTATCTGAACAGAAGAACCTCTTTAGCAACAGCACTGTGCATCAGGAATGCTTTGTCAAGGCACTCAATGATTATTAGAAATCTTTAATAACACTTAAATCTAAGTTAAATGATAGGCCTTGTCCCTACAATGTATTGTTCATAAGAACCTACTGCAGGCGATATATTAGAAAATACTTTTTAAAATCCATTTTAGAAACCTCCCATTAGCATTCAAAATCATTAGTCTTTCTAATAATATGTTTAGAATGGATCATACTAAGTGCTGAACTAAAATCATTAAATATTGTTGAAAAATACTATAATAAAGTAGTAATATAGTATGAATATATTATATATTAATATATTATTAATAGTATTATTTCAATAATATTCAAAATACTACTGAAAGTAATTTTCAGACATTCAGCTACGCTGCACCTCTGAATGGAAAATAGGGCATGGCGAATTAATACTTGCTGGAGTTGGTTCAGCAGTGAAGTTTTTATGGGTTTATTGAATAATTAATGGAGTGATAAAAGAAATCAGAATGGGACGAGTCCAGGGGAAAAAAACCCTGGAAAACCCCTGGGAAAAACTTTGGGAAAAGAGCAGCTACTCACGCTCCTGCAACTCAATGTCTGAGCCCAGAGGATTGATTCCTCAGGGCTTCAGTAGTGGTTGAGGCTTCCTAATGAGGCTGATAAGCCTGGCCTGATCTCATTTTAGATGGTCCTGAGAAGCTCCTTCCACGTGTGGAATGTGGAATGGAATTTGGTGCTGGTGCACTGGAGCTCGTCAAGGCATCACAGTGCTCCCCCGCAAAGGGGTGACCTCCAGGTGCTGGACCAGGCTTTCTAGAGAACCTCGTATGGAAGGTTCTTATGAGACATGGTGCTGCCAATTCTCTTGCTGGGATCCAGGACCTGTCTTCGTCTCCATGCCCCCTCCAATGTGCCAGGAACTGGAGAATGTTTTGTACCCATCTGGAGTCGACAATCCACTGGGGGCGAGGTTCTTCCTAATCCTCCAGACAGGGAGCGGATGATTCCTCAGGTGCCAGATGTGTTGGTGTGGGTTTTAGTATTGAAATGTAGAATGCTGTCGAAATTTTCCTACTGAGGGATCTAGGAAAGGTGAGACAGTAGGAGACGGCATTAATTTGTTCACTCACTTTGAAGGGTCCAATGTAGCAAGGAGCCAGTTTCTTGGAGGGCAACTATAGGCGGAGGTATTTTGTGGAGAGCCATACTCGCTTCCTGACTTGGAGTGGAGGGTGGTCTCTCTGATGTCGGTTAGTGAAAGTCTCTTGCCGTTGTGCTGCCCTCTTTAGATTTGCCCTTACCAGTCTCCACAAACCCCCAAATCTGGCCTGGTCTGCAGCCGGAAACCTGGAGCTGTGGGAAGAGACCTGGAGAAGAAGGGGTTGGAACCCATACTGGCATTTGAAGGGTGACACGCTTGTGGCTGAGTTCACTAGGACATTTCGGGATATCTCAGCCCAAGGGAGGTGTGTCACCCAACCGTCGTGAAAAGAGGAGACATGGCACCGGTGGTAAGTCTCCAGGTCTTGATTAACCCGCTCCGTCTACCCGTTCGTTAGCTGGTGGTACTTGGAGGAGAAGTCAGTCTTTATTTCCAGTATCCTACAGAATTTGGAGACAAAATGGTGTCCTCTGTCAGAGACGATGTTTCTGGGGAAGACCACCTTGATGAAAATATTCGCCATCTGCATGGCTGTGGGGCAGTGGAATGAAGTGGGCTGCTTTGGAGAAAAGTTAAGATGACAGTTTGTCCCTAGGATCTCAGGAGGACGGTGATGAAGTCCATGGATATGGACTCCCAGGGTCATTCTGGTGTCAGGAGCACTTGTAGAAGTCCAGCGGGCACCCTCCTGGAGTCTTTTAACCTTTAACAGGGAGTGCAGTTGGAGATGTAGACCTCTATGTCCGCTAGGAGGGATGGCCACCAGAACTTGCACTGCAGGAGTTCCACCATACGATTCATTCGGGGGTGCCCAGCCATCCGAGATGAGTTCCCCCATTGAATAACCTCTGCCCTGCCCTGTGGAGGCACATATTGCTTACCCGACGGAGTTTCTGGAGGGGATGTGGTGTCTCGCAGTGCCTCAGAGATTGCCTTCTCTACATCTAACAGGGTCACTCCGATCACCTTGTCCGCCAGGAAGACTGTAGTGGGTTGTTCTGGAATGTGCTCCAGAAGGATAGGAGCAGATGTGAATTTCTTCTTTAGAGTACTAAAGGCCTCCTGAGCTTGTGCATACCACTTGCCCTGGTTGGATTCCTTTATAGTGAGGGCAGTAAGGGGCGCTATCACTGAACTAAAGGTCTTAATAAAGGTTCTGTAGAAATTTGCAAAACCTATGAAGCTTTATATTTGCTTTAGGTTGGTTAGGCCAGTCCTGGATGGCAGTATCCTTTGGACGATCCATCTTCAACCTGGAATTTGATAAGATGTACCCCATGAAGGCGATTTCTGAGTGATGAAATTCGCATTTCTTTAATTTCACAGAGATGGTTTAGTCTTAACCTTTGCAATACCATTCGAATGTGTTTGACATGTTCATGATAATTCAGAGAGAACACCAGGATATTGTCCAAGTATATAACTAGGAACTTACCTAGGTAATATGTGCCAGAAAACCGCCAGAGCGATGTACAGTCCGAATGGCATTACAAGGTACTCATAATACCCACTCTCTGTATTGATGGCTGTTTTCCATTCATCTCCTTCTCTAATAAGAATGAGATTATACGTCCCCCTGAGGTCAATCTTAGTAAATATAATGGATTTAGCTGCCTTCTCCAGTAATGCCGGGATGAGGGGTAAGGGGTACTAGTTTTTCTGGGTTATTTTGTTGAGCTCTCGGTAGTCAATACAGGGGCGTAACCCCTCATCATTTTTCTCCACAAAGAAAAACCCAGCACCAGCAGGAGAGGTCAAGTGTCTTATGAACCCCAAAGCTAAATTTTTATATTCCTCCATGGCCTTAGTCTCCAATGGAGAGAGAGAATATAACTGGCCTCTGGGTGGCAGTTTCACAAGTATCAGGTCAATGGCACAGTCATACGGTCTGTGTGGAGGAAGTTCTGTAAGAGCCTTTTGTTTACTGAATACGTGCATAAACTCTCAGTATTCATCGGGGAGTCTATCCGGTCTAATGTCCATGGTGGACAGTAACTTAACCCAAGGCATGCAATGTAATTTGCAGTTGTCACCCCACGCAATCAATTCTTGTGTAGCCCAATCAATATGGGGGTTATGCTGTTGTAACCATGGAAACCCCAAAATGAATGACGGTTGTGAGGCTTGAATGCATAGTACTGAAATTGTCTCTTGATAAAGAGCACCTATGTTAAGGATGAGAAGGATAGTTTGTTAAGTAATCCTCTCGGATCCGATAGGAGAACCATCAAGTGAGTGAATCTTGACTGGAGGCGTACAGGACATCAGGGGAATCTGTAATTTGCAAACTATATCTTCATCAATAAAGTTACTGGCCACCCAGGAATCGATAAACAGGAAAATGTGTCTCACCTTGGAGTTCTATGACAGAGAGGCTGGCAAGAGCAATTTTCCACCAGGGTAAGGAGACTGGAATGCTCCACTCAGTAAGGGCTCCTGAGCCAATTTGTTTCCTGGGCGCCCAGGGCAGATCTTTTTTCAGTGCCCCTTTTTTCTGCAGTACATACATAGGCCGTCTCAATGTCTTCATTCTTACGGGTGCACCCAAGTTGCATTGGTTCTTTGTCAGTGCTATAATTTCTTCTAATTAATCCGGGAGTTTGTTATGTACTAGTTCATCATTGATCCTTTCTGCGAGGCCATGATAAATGAATGAACACAAAGCCGCCTCATTCCACCTCATCTCCAACGCCAATGTCCTGAATTGAATAGTGTCATCCCTAACCGATTGTCTCCCCTGGGTAAGTTGTAGAAGCTGTTGTTCAACTCTCTAAGTATTCCCTGGGGGCTGAAAATCCTGGAAGAATGTTCGGGTAAACTCTGAATAATTAGAACAAATGGGATCCCCAGTGTACCAAAGTGCAGATGCCCATGCCAGGGCTTTTCCGGAGAGGAGGGAGAAGAGGTACCCCACTTGTGTGCCGTCAGTAGGGAAAGGGGAGGGTTGCAAAGACATGACCATCTCGCACTGCATAAGGAATCTCTGCACTGATCTGGGTCTCCAGAGAAAGGAGTGGGATGTAGCAATCAGGGTTCATGGAAGACCGTGGTTTGTCCCTTAGTCCTCTGACCGGTGATCCAAGGTGAATCTGAAATCTGGAACTGAGGCTGCCACGGGTCTGGAGCCAGGAACTGGGATGGCCACTAACCTGGAGCTGGAAACTGGGTGGGTTTTGAAAGGGCACAGGGACAGAGTCAGGGGGTATGGAGTCCATAGAGGAGGCGTTGTACTGTTTCCATGGTCCTGGATCCTGTTGTTTTCAACCGCTGAACTCCATTGGGTTGTGGCTCAGACATTCTGTTATGCAATTTTTATGGGTTTAGTGAATAATTAATGGAGTGATAAGGATCAGAATGAGAAGAGTCCTGGGAGGAGGAGCCCCCGGGAAAACATATCCTGGGAAAAGAGCAGCTACTGTACTTGCGCTCATGCAACTCAATGTCTGAGCCCTGAGGATTGCTTGCTGGGATTTCAATAGTGACTGAGGCTCCTTACTGAGGTTGATAAGCCCAGCCTGATCTCATTTGAGATGGTCCTGACGAGCTCCTTCCACGTGTGGAATGTGGAATGGAATTTGGTACTGGTGCACTGGAACTCGTCAGGGCATCACACTTTTTTTAGACAAGTAATCCCTTAATCACATGTAATTCTAATGATTTACAATTTAAAAGTATCTTTCCCCAACACTGTATGTATCATAAACACCGATACATACAGAACTGTGCATGAGGTAGGATTGCTTCACTAAATATGTAGTTAATTTACTGTGATCATTGTCAGTGTCCTACAAAAGAAAATGCCATAATCTGAAAATCTCACTTGACGTAATAATTGATGTCAATCTCATCTCTTAGGTTTTCGCTGAAGGCCGTGTACAATAGGGACTGTGTGTTTAAAACATCTCCAATCATCTGGATTGCATATCTGCTTAGGTTACTTTCTCTCTTGAGGTAATCCTTTTGAGACAAAAACAAAGCAAATCAAAAAACTCATTTTGACTGGAAATACAGTTTTAAAAGCTAAGGACTTGCAAACTCTTGTAAACTTGTGACAGATAACAACATAGGCAAAAATCACATATTTTTATTTATTTATGTCTATTTCCATTAATTGTAGATAATTTGATGTGTTGTGTTAGGTAAAAGCTGTTCCAGACTTTGATGTCAGCAAAAGATGCCAGTTGTTGGCTTTGGCTTTTATTATACAGTATCATTGAAGTTGCCTAAGTAAAGCAATTTAATTTTTCCTCATCCACTTTTTCTCATTGTCCTGATGTTACAACACAGGTGCTACAAAGCAGTGCAGGTAGATAATCAGGTACTTGATTACTTGATTGGCTGCCTGATTGATAGATCGAGGGAAAGACAGAGACACTAATCTGAATCTGTAACCAAACATTAAAGTGACTTACTGTATATAGCCTTTGATCAATTTGTAAATTGAAGTTTTAGGTGTATCGATATTGTACCTTAATGCTTTTATGTTCATAATGCACAAACATAACTATCATAATTTAAATTAGATAATCAACAGAATCTTTTCTATAAAATGGAACGGTAATTAATCATTAGCTAGAAACAATCACTATTGGAACTGAAAGCCAACTTTACCTTTACAGAATAGACATCATATTTCTTGAGGTTGCAATGGCACAGCAATGGATTTTCCTTGATTTCGTCAATGACCTAGAAGATCATCAAAGGCCATGAAAAAATCATGAAGATTTCAGAGATCAATCTCTTGCACTTCAACAAAAGGTAGAAGCAGAGAGACCTAGAGTTTCATAGGTTAAAACAGGATGTTTCAAACTGAATATACAGCAGAACGGTGCTGCCATTCCGCTCATACACTCAATTCAAGCTTTACCATCCCCTGGGGGGAGATCAATTTTACAGCAGAGTCCAATACAACAATGCCACAAAAACAAACAAACACCACCAATAATGAATTAATTCCAGCAGTGTTTCAGGAGATAAGATTGATTTTACTTTGTCTGAGAATGAAATTGCAGAGGGGATGAAAGATTTCCTGGGTCTGTATGAGTCATCACCACCATTTGCACAGAAAGAACCAATAATATATATATTTTTTCAAATGAACACTGGTCAAGTGCATGAGTGTTAATCCCCCAATGGCACATTTCAGAAAGGTGGAGGACCTACTGTCACTGAAACTGAAATATATCTGTTCTACTTTAGAGGTAGATCAGATCAGAGTTGATCAGTTTTTTAGAATATACAGTAGCTGTGACTTGTAAATGCTTAGAAGCTCTCTCCCACCTCTAAACACTCCTGTTCTAAAGGAGAAATAATATTTTATGACATTTTATATCTGTAATGCAATCAAATGAGTTGCCAAAGTAAAGCAATTTCATTTTTCCCCATCAACTGTTTCTCCCTTTCCTGATGTTACACCACAGGTGTTGCAAAGCAGTGCAGGCAGATCAATCAGGTGCTTGATTACTTGATTGGCTACCTAATTGATAGTTTGAGGAAGGACAGAGATACAGCCTGAGCTCATTCTCACGTGGCCAGCAGACGGGCAAGAGCTCTTAGGAATGCCCCATTGTACCATTAAGCTGTGAAACATCACCCAGCACAGGTGTAACAACACTACTGGTAAAAATGTCAGATATATCTGTAAGACACTAGAAGCCTCCAAATTTATTCACACCCCCGATTAGCTGGAATTACAAGCTGGGCTAGGAGGTGTATTCTGTAGCTTTTTAATAGGATCTTAAACTCATCCTGAGGGACATCTGACCAGTTTTCCAGACAGTCAAAGCTGCACTGGAGATCTGCTCTCCTCAGCTCATTGCAACCATGTGCCATTAGAGACTGCAATGGTCAAACAATGATGTTGAGCTTACACTTGTGGTCATTGACATTGATACAAGCTTCTTATTGTTCTCCTGTTGTGGAGTCTGTTTGTGACAAGGCTTGAGCTTCAGGTCAGAAGACACTGCTTTTTGGCAGTACTATTAATAATAATTCTGTTAGGCTGGTCCACAGCTCAGACATCAAGTAAAGAACCCTTTGAGGGTTTAAAGATCACAAAAAATCCAAAACCAGTAAATTAGGGGACCCCAAGTCCAGGGTCAAGAGGTGAGTGAAAGTCCAAAGTCAGAAGACAAATACAGTATCAAGTGGCAGAGACACAATCCAAAAACCAAGGTCAGGAAACAGGCCAAAATCCAGAAGACAGGCAAGGAGTCCAGGGAGAATTCGGCAAGGGTTCAATCTGGAGCTCAAAGTGTTGAAACCAATACTAAGCACATCTTAAACAAAGAGCAGGGTTTAAATAGGTCTGGGGAAGGTAGACATGGTGATGTAGGGACACTGGCCAAGCAGGGATTGGTTACTCTCATCTACTTGATCTGTGCCTCTGCTGCACAGATGAAGTAGGCACTATAGTTTGAAGTGCCCTCTGGTGGCGGGATGCTGGAACTGTAACAAGAACAGATCCATTTCAGTTCTCCAAAGGAGGGCTGATATTCTTGTTGCACATGAGGTTCTGTAAGACCAACCATATCTTGTGGTCTCAGCTAGGGGGAGTCAATCAGTTCTTGTTTGGGAAACTCATGGCTCACTGTGTAACCACTACAGGCCAAATTGGACTCAAGGAGTTGGTGTTGAGTGTCTAGTTACCCACCAGACCACCTTACTGAGTTCACATTTAAAACTCTCACGACCTGTTTTCTAGATGGGTACCCAGTCGCCCCATTAGGCATGAACCTCTTGATTGTGAGCACCTGAGTCAAACCCCCAATTATATTGCAGAATTGGGCATCCATCTGACATCTCCCCTTTCTTTTTTAAAATTGGCCATGTTTTCACACTAATGTCATCTTTATTATAAATTAACAGTAAACCACTGTGTGAATATAATACCTTTTTTACGGCTTCAGAGTACAACTGTGCAGCAGATTTTCCCTTTTCAGATTCCTCCACTGGGTAGCCCAGAATGTCAGGATTCTTCATAACCTCGGACGTCTTGATGCGTTTCCCATTTATAAAGTACCAGGTGTTGTTATCCTCTTGGATGAATTCTGACAGATTGAGTCCATAGTGAGTAATGTAGAGAAGGACTAACCTGAAAATATCACTTGAGTTAGATTACAGAACATCCATCCATCTATTTTCTAAGTGCTTTGTTGGAGTTGTGGGGTTATCACTGCTGCCTCACAGCATGGGAACCTGTGTTTAAATTTTCCCCTGCAGAGCTATCTGCATGAAGATTTATGGTATTTCCCCATGTTTGTGTTGGTTTCCTCTGGGTGCTCTGGCTTCCTCCCACAGTCCAATGACATGCTGGGAGGTTGATTGGCTTCTGGGAAAAGTAGCCCTGGTGTGAGTGTGTGTCTTCTAATGGACTGGTATCCTGTCCAGGGTGCACCCCATCTTGACCCTGTTGCTTGCTTTGATGAACTCTGGCTCCCCCACAACCCCAAATTGGATGAAGTGGTTATTAAATGGATGGATGATAACCCTGGCAGGACAATTTGAATGCACACCTCTTTGCTTATTGGCTGGACAATTTCTCAGCAGCAGCAATAATTTAATTATCTCATTCTACCAATTTATTCTGTAACAAATGCTAAATACAGTGCTGCTTCAACCGTTTTTGGCCTTATCAAAGCATGAAGCAAGCACTTCAAGGAAACTCACTCATGAGTCGAGGGAATTCTCATTGCACCCAACTCTGCGTGCCAGCCCCTGCTCTCATTCCTGTACGTGTGAATTCGCCCCCCAACTCTGTCACTGGCTTCCAAGACACTGACCTGTAGGAAAATAAAACATTATTGATACAGAGGAGAGAACGGAACTGTGACAGGCCTACCTCTCAGCTGTTGACTGATGAGGCATGAACAATGAAAACAATCCCACCGGAAACAAAATGTTGTGCAGAGAAGTTATTTACTATATAAAGCGGCTATAAAAGTATTCACCCCACTTACAGTCCTACTCTAAACAACCAAACGCCAACAAGTACAGACTATTCTTTTACATACCAAACTAAATCCAAATTAATCCCACATGAGATTGTGACTCTCAGCTCCTCGCTAATTATGTAATTTGTCCAATAATTCACCACATTTATATATAATAGAGGCCTGAATGACCTCTAGAGGCAGGCCAGCTGAAACTGTTATCCTAATTACTGCTGACCTGCTGCAATGACAGTTTCCTGCCGGGATACTGCAATCTGATTGACTAGAATATTACTGCTATTAAAAATCAACAAGAGCCACTTCTTATCCCAGATCCCTGACTGGAAGGCCAATGAGGCCTATTTTTTAGAGATCTGAAGGTGTCGTAGACTGGTAACCCAAATGAAGTTTGTGTCCTGTCCAAGAAATGTTATTGTATGTTTACTGAAACACCATTCTGTGGTTGATTTTACATCTGTGTGGTATTGACAATCCCAAACAGGTATTCGTTCCTGAATGTTTTCTGTACTTGAGTGCTGTGGACTGGCCTCCAGCTCTGGAAATCAGTTAGAAGTGGCCAGTTGAGAGTGAGCTCCACCTTCCATGCATGTAATCCTAAAGGGCATTTTGGTTTTGCTGCTGGAAAGAAATATACTTTCTGCTTGTGCCTTCCTGGCACACCAATTCCCAAACAGAATGAAGAAATTTGACTGCACATAAAAAATATTTTAAGTAATGGCTGAAAACTAGAATTTCTAAATGTGCTCTTTTCAAGGGGGGGTGCTTTTGAAGTGTATTACTAAGAAGACAGCACCCACAAATTATCCTCGTTTTGTGAATTGTGAAGTCACCCAACTTTGCCAACAGGATTGTCAAGCACTTGAGTGGAAGCAGAAGTACTAAACCAAAACCAGATCAAGTACTAGAATAATATACCTGAAAGACCGACATGTTTTATTAATTGTGACCATCGCCCACACAACAGTGCCAGTGGAGGTCTAGGGTCTGCTGTTTGTACCTCCTGAGGTCTCAGTTACACAGCTTGTCTACATGATTGACGGCATAAGTATGATCCTGAAAAACTGCAATACTTCAGGTGCTGCTGTAGTTTACAGTTTACTTTGAGGAAGTGAGAATTTTCATTAATCAAAATTGCAAGACCTTAAGAATTACAAGACCAGCCTTTTAATGCCTTATTATGAAAACAACGAGTTTGGACTTAAAACAGAAGATGTCAGGCCTCCAGGAGCTGAGGGTGAGTCTCCTGCTTCCTGAGACAGTACTGAAATATCATACATTGTGTCTAGCATCCTCCAGGAGTTTCGCAGCGATTAATCCGGAGATTCCTGCTCCAACAATCACAAAGCTCTTCGGTTTGCCTTTGTTTTTGAGGCCATTCGTAGCGATGTTCAGCAGGTACTCGTAATCCTTATTGCGGAAGCACTGATCAATGACTTGTCTGTCTTCTTGTGCCTGCGATGAGATTGCCAGAAAGCAGCCCAGCAGGAAGGCTTAGGAAAAAAGAGCAAAATCACACTCAATCTTGTTTAGGTAAACTGGGTGCTAAGAAGGAGAAGAAACTTCACACCCTTCAGGACAAGCAAAATGCTTATAAGCTGCATTTTCTGCAATTGCGTTGGATGCATGCACTGATACCAGGGTTCCAAATTGTATGTGTATGTGTCATCATCAGATCATAAGTTAATTGTTCAAAATGTTTACTTAATCTGAAAACAGTTGTTAGTCATCGATCTAAGAAGTTATTGTCTATTCCAAATGATAGCATTTGATCACACAGCAGGCTGAGAAATGCTTTACACACTAATAGACAACATAAAGTTTTCTATTGATCCCCACTTCTGATGTATAATATGTTCAACAGAATGGTAATTTTGTTGCATTTATATGCCCCCTTTCAACACAATGGATCAGTGAAGTGCAACCCCACTCGGGAGACACACAGTGTTCATTCTGCACTAGCAGATCGAGGGGGTGGGGGGAGAGAGAATATTCTTCAACAATTCATTTACAGCTGAAGTATAAGAAGTAAAAAGTGTAAATATTCCTCATGATTTTTTAATCTCGGGTTAAAAATTAATAAAAGTGTCTTGAACACATTTGCTATTCTTACACAAATACTCTTGTTTCTAAGAGTTTGACAAAGAAAATATTTTAATCCACAAGGCCAAGTGACACAGATGTAATAAAGTTTCATAGGCAGAGGAACATTTCAGCATTTGCTTAAAAGCTACATACATGTGAATGAAACAAGTTTCCTTTGTGAGCTTTTGTTTGAAATTTTACTTTCAGTGATCAATACAGATCAAATCAATGAAAACACAGACATTGTCTTGTGAGCCTTACAGTTAACTGTTGGGATGATGAAGGCAGCAAAAACACAAACTTTAAGTTAATTTAGTTTTTTTTTTAAATTTTTATTTTCAGTATAGCAGAGTTCCAGTGCATTGTAGTTTGTAAGTAAACTGGAATGTTTGGTGCCAAAAGATCTATTTACTATGTAATCATGCCCAGAACTGCTATTACAGTAAGTCATGTTGTTCTAAGCAAGAACAATACAATGTTGAAAATGTCTTTCAGTGCTGAGTGGGGCTGGTTTCTTTATGACATGAGTGGATGTATCATGGAGAAGCAGAATAATCTAAAGACACTCAGCAGCTGATTGGCATTTTTGGCTGATTGAACAGCTCCTCCCAGCTCCTGGAATAATCCTTCAATAAAACCACTGGAGTATGCCTACATCCACTTTATTGCAATCAGAAAAATTGCAATCTATACATCTATACGTTTTCTAACCTATTAGGGCCACAGGGTAACTGGAGCCCAACTAACCTACAAGTACATTTCTGGGCTGTGGGGAGAAATCCACATGAACATGTGGAGAACATACAGATGCAGCCATTCAAACCCACGGTACGGTAAACTACCCACAAGCCGCCGCAGGGCACCGCAGTTGTGATTGGCTGGCCAAAATGACCGACAAGGGCACTCGTGGTGCATTGGTTGGTAGTGAAAAGATTTAATCATTTAATCTCTTTACTGTGCACATCTTAATCCACTTAGTTTTGAATATTTATATGGAATTTTACCACTAAAGGGAAATTTTAGTAGCTGAGCATAAAAAGAAGAGGAGCATAACGCATCTGAAGATCATAAACGATATTAATTTAGGAACATAAACATATTACTGTATGTAAACTGTACTGTATATGACTGGTATTGGTAGTTTAAAGAAAAAATACACACCAGTCTTCCATTTCTCCCTAAACATTTTAAGCATGAAAGTTTTATGAAACGGTACCCAAATATGCGATTGCTGTATAGAATGAATTTTAATTTAAAAAAAATATTTAACACGAAAATTAAGCTGTTTACATCTTCCGCCTGAGAACAGTCACCCGTTGCTACCCAACGCAGAAACACAGCTACTAACTAGCAAAGAGAGGACATTAGCTAGCCAATATGATAAAGAAATAAATGATTATTTTGTTTATTTCTTTTGCACATTTATTTGAACATTTCCATCGATTGTACAAGCACTTGGAAACTGTCCAATCCCTAGTTCATAAGGCATTTTCTTTTACGCTGCGGGCATTCTCCTGGTCTGGCGCCGGTCTGTGTCTTCTAGGATATAATGCCAGAGAACTCTTTGTTTTATGTCCACTATAACAGACAATCTCCTTTGCTTTTAACCGAGCGTTTAATAATTTCCTAAAATGAAAATGATTTAGTTTATTTCCCTCACGGGATCAATAAAAGTATCTATCATCTATCTACATAAACTATGGGACAGAATTCTGGGGTCTCCCTATACTAGAGATTATGGTAGGGTTTCAGAATGGTGATTGGCTGACACCATCTGACACCCCTCTGATTGGAGAAAAAAGACGTGCTGGTTTGCTATACATACTGTACCAGGAAGAAAATTTCTTTCTATTCGAAACGTGTATTTTAAAAGTTTAATTAAGAAGTAAAAACCTTACAGCGTACACAGATTTCTAAACTGATCAGGAGGAAGAAAAATCACACGTGTTTCGTGCATAAAAAGTGGTTATTAACTATCGAAACCTGTTTTATGTATTTTATTTTTATTTAGATTAAGAGTTCCCGTCACTTCCATTCCCATATAAATCACAAACCCGTGTTTAATTAAATGTGTAGGGAAAACCGTTTCAGGGACGCCAAATATGTAATCATAGTGGCTCTCTGAAGGCACCAGTTCTGTAGGGTTT